TTCTGCAGCTCTTCTAGCACTTGCTATAATATCATAGTGAAGCTTTTCGTATATTGTCTCGAAATGTTGGCTGTAGTGTATAATTCCATTGAGGTTTCTTTTAAAATAGAAACCATGTTTTAAGAAGCTGCTTCCCATGCCTTGACTGTAGTAACTATGCCATGGTTACATAGCCTCTAGCACAGATACTGACTTATTCATCTCATTTGAAGTGTCTGCATTTTCACAAAATTCAACTTCATTAATTTTTTTAATGAGATCATTTTTGTAATGACAATTGAAAGCTTTTAAACATAATACCCTGGTACCACCACAGAACAACCCACCATCCACAGAACAAGGGACAAGAGTAGATTTTTTTAAAAATTCATATATTATTTGTCTCTAGGATCATAATATTCAATTTCTAGTTAAAAAAGTTATAAAAAGAATATCGCGCATCAAAGGGTTAAGTTCGCTTCTTTATTTAAATGAAAATAAGTAAAATTATTTACCACTGTCATCCATAAATTCTTGTTATAAGTTAGAGATAAACTCTTGACTCCTTTCACACATTGAGGTTTTCTTTCTAATAACTAATAGTAGTGTCTTCTTGATTATTCATCCTTATTGTAGGTTAATAACTCATTCCTTCAGTTTCTTAGAAACTGCTGTTTCTTTTTAAAATATAAATGTGCATTCTGATAGTAGTTTGCAAAAATAGACTAGTTTTGTCAATATTATAATTTTCATATAGCTTACATTCATTTCATATAACTTTCATTCAACCCACTTAAAACATCTTTTATCCATTTAACAGCCACATGATGATTTATTTCTTGTTTATCACCATGCTGTTTCTGATTAAATGTTTTTTCTCTCTGTCTCCATCTTCTGAGCCATTTGTCAGCTCGTGCAAAATTCTGTCCTAGTATTTTAGCAAATTCCTCAGCTTCTGTGATTAAAAGAGTTCTAGAAATAGAACATTTTTTAGCCTCATTACTTAAGAAGCCATTCTAGCAGAGCAGGTTTCAACATATCTTGATTTACAGTTTCTTTGATACTTCTTTTGTACATTGCATTTTTATAAGTTCTTGATCAATTATTACTCTATATATGAACTGCACAATGCTATTTAAGAAGTTCATAAGTTAAATGCTGTTTCTCTTAGGCTGCCATCACCTCTTGCATTATAATCTATATAATGCAATTTATACTCTTCTTTCAGACTTAGAACGTTTTGTATAGCATTTTCAGATGCTACAAGTTACATATACAGCAAATTTAAAAAAAAAAAGAATCCTTTTCTTATGATTTGATCAAATTTAAAATTCACATTTCTAGACAGCAGAAAGATTACGCTTTATCTGCTAAGTTAATTCTGTCCTTTATGGGTACAGGTATAAGCATATTTTTAAAACTATTTTTTTCCCCAAAGTGACCACTTCCTTTTCATTTCAAAAGCTGATAAAGTATGTTAGTGGAATGAAGCTTTTCTAGAGGTTTTGTGAGAACTCCCTGTGATTAGTGTAGAAGGATGCAGAGATTACTCTTTGACCCTATATCACCTGGTATCCGTTAAGGAAAAGCAAGGTTCATTGCAGTATCACTGTTTTAATCCCAAGGAGCACCCGCTCATTTACAACGCTTTTAGAGTATTGTTTCTCAGTCTGTGGTCCTAGATTTCATAGAAGGACAAAAATAAATGTGAATTAACTGTATATACTCCACTATAAATAAAAATCTCAGAATTTGGAAATTACACTTGGCAACTGTCTATCATTTTTCCATCCAAAAATAATTTTTTGGGAAATTAAATACCAATTATCCTTCTTATGGATTTCCTACTTGAGTCTTAGCAGCAAAAGAAGGATTTAAAGCACTATGACTGCAGTTCTTCTTACTAGCATACATCTAAACATGGACCAACTATGCATGAATCGGCAGGTTCATCCATCTCATTAATGTGAGTACTAACATTTACAAGTATTTAAGTTTTAGTTCATAAGATCAAAATTATTTAAAATGTAATAGTCTTGAATTAAAAACAGATATAAATTTCTTTGTTATCTTAATTACTTATTGCCGGTATAAAATTAAAGGAATTTTTCTTAATTTGTTTTATTAATTCTGTTGTAAAAATATAAGCATACTAGTAGTAACATATACTAAAAAGTTGCTTTCAAAAAGACAAGAGTAAAAGGCTGTAAAGACCTGACTGTTAAATTGAAAAAAAAAAAAAAAAAATTCTGCCACTTTTAGTTCTGGCCCAGATTAAGAGCTTTGCAGACACAGGAAACGGCTGGGTAGAAAAAACATCCCCTGTTAGAATAGGCTCCTTTTAGAACAAAATTTTGGTTAACTTAATTTTATTGAAGCACTACACAACTGAATGAAAAATAAGCAGCAACCCTCAATAATTTAAATGTGTAAACTACAAATAACTTTTATAGATACCAGTATTGTGGTCTGATCCTGAATAATTAGTACTTTGCCAATTTGAGTTTTATAAGCTGTGAAGATGAGTTTTATAAACAGTGTTGTTCTATTGATTAGTATATATTTGTTTCAGTTCTCTGAAATTTGAAAGTAATATGTGGCTGATTTCATTAACCTGTGAGTATAAGCAGTTGGTACAGTATGATAACGCATGCACAGCTCTCTGTCTAAAGCACTGGTCATCAAACTTTGTCGACTCATGGAACCCTTAAAACAGTATTTTTTTTTCCCAGGGAACCCATCCCACTTTTAGAAAAATGCATCTTAAAGTAATATTTAAAGTAGATCAGTACGTCATTGGTACTTTATGAACAGACAATTAAAGAAATGTATTATATTTTTATATTAAAAAATTTAAACATAAAATTAATGTGATTTATTCACTAATAGCATTACCAAGTGACCCTTCCATTATACTATTTAGTGACTGGAGTGTGCTTACATTTTTTTACACAGACTGTTGAAGGTCTGTGATAACTCTATTGATGTTATCTGCAGGTGCATTTTATAATATGCATTTAATTTGTTTCTATCTTTTGTTTTTGTTGTCACATACACTGAGAAAGATTTTTCACTTAAATACATTGTTCAGAATGGCATTAAAATGTTCTAAAACTGGTAAGTAACTTCTAGGTATTCTACTTGGATCTACAACCAACAATTTGAGATCTGCTGTTGCTTAAATTTAGATTTTAACATCAAATATGTTGATATGTAGATAAAATGTTCCCTTTCATTTATTGGCACATGCCATCTGGTTCACTGTAGTATTCCAATGGATTTTTTATTCAGTCATTCTTAGTTTTTTCTTCTGGGAAGTATTCTTTTATAGCTTTCTTCAAAATGTGCTCCATTGTATAATTTTTTTAACACTGTCATCTAAAATCGATTCATTTTTTATTAGAACACCATTTAGTTTTGTAGAGCATTGCCCATCATTCTTTTTGACATATGATGACCACATGTTAAGTTTTAAAACTAATCTATAACTAAATGTTTCTTTACATTTTTTAGTTAATAAACACTAGTCAACTAGCATGAGTGCTTTATAATAAAAAAAAAAAAATTTTTTTTGACTCAAGAACCCTAGGGTTCCATTTGACTGGTCTAAGGAATGGTTACCTTCTATTTTTTATTGTAAATTTAAAACTTTAAAACCTATTTTTGTAAAATACTATGATAAAAATAAATATAATTGCATGCTTAGTATATTATCAATATCTTAAAATATATACAACTTTTATTTGTTAAAAATAATAAAATATATTAATAAGCATTTCTAATTAAAATACGATTTTAAATATATTTGCTTTTGCAAGTTGTCACCATTTGTTTTGCTAATTTTAGCTGGTTACAACTAGTTCCTGTTACTGCCATGACAAAAACTATCTTCTGCTGGCAAAAAAGGCCCACTCTGTTTTAAATAAATAATATTATTAAATAAAATATCAGTTAAGGGCAGATAATAAACCCATATTAAAAGAAGTAAATCATTAAAATAAATTTTGCTTTTTAGGGAAAAGTACATGTAAATGCATTAACATGGAAATTTTAGAATTTAGCTATTTTGAATTATTTTTTTAAGGTCATAAAAAGATTTGCAAATCTGTAAATTCCCTTTTTTATACTAATAATAAAATAAATTCTTATGTGAAATGAAATAATTAATTAATTGATGCATAAAATGTTTTTCTTATTATAAGTTCATTAAATGTAGTAATGTAATATTTTCCTTTAATCCTCCAAGCAGTACAGATTTGGCCTTGAAATCCTAACTTCCCCAGAATGCCATGAATAAGTGACATTTTCTTGACTGTAATTCCAAAATGACCATCTCACTTTGTAGCTTGACTCTTTTCCTTCCAATATACACCCAACCTGAAATCAGATCTATCAGGAGTGAATTGGAAAGCTATCCTTCTATGCGGAATTTTATGTCCATAACCCATGGAAAGTTAAGAAATAGCTCTAAAGGTGCTACTTTAATTTTTTAATGAAATAAATCATTAACTAATAAATAAATATTTTTAATAAATGGTAAAATTTTTATCCCTCCATGAATTAAAGAAGAAAATCTACTTTGCAGTTATTAGTCATAATTTATCATTAAGGCCATAAAAAGTGCCTTAAGATTTAAGAAATGTATAAAACATGTTGTTAAAGTTGGCGAAATGCTGAGAGAAAATACTCATAATATTTCCCTTTGATCTTTACGTTATTGTGTACTTGTTTTAGAAAATTATGCTTATATAGATACTGTGATCCAAAATAAATCATTGTCACAAAGATTTGTTAAAACTCTGAAAAATTCTATTTAGCTAATTAATATAATAGTTCACATTTTATTTTAAATTGTTGCATATTTGAATATTCACAGATCTTTCATTGTTTTTAATATTCTGTTCATTTTAATTATTGCTATTAAAATTTTATCTGTGTTCCTATAAAATGAGAGTACTTTTAATTGCCCTAAAAATTTTGCTGATTTTATCTTTTTAAGTATTGTTTTGTATTTTTTTTAGCTTCAACGAGTACTCCTTTTGGGGTAATGAAAAAGGATTACTGGTTTTGGATACATCATTTATATGAACATAATGAGAAATACTGGTAGCTATAATAGAATTATTAGTTATAGTGCAACAAAAGCATTTTAATTAATATAATGTATAATATAAATTATGTAGACACTGAATTCTGATTAGTAGGTCTCTGAACTTTAAGAACTTATGCAGAGTTTTAGACATATAAGAGAGAAAAAAGGTGCATACTAAAGTTCAGAGTAATCAGTAATTGTTATCTAAAATATTAAAACTCAGTATATAATAGCTATAGGGTTATATATCTATTGACTTAAAGCCCTTTTCTTCATTTATCTCCTGCATTAGTTTTTTTTTTTTTTTTTTTTTTTTTTAAAAAAAAAAAGGGGGGAATAAGTTTTATTGAATTGCACTATGCCTTCCTGTGTTGATAAATTCAAAATTTGATCATTATATGTTGGAACTTTTTTACAGATAGAAAATGGGCTCATGTCTTTGGATACTGCAAGGGGGGGTAAATCTTCCCAGTAAAGGCTAGCATTTGACCTATGCAACTGGAATTTGTGGTCGAATTCTTTTATAATTTAAAAAGAACAAAACTGAAAATCTTATGAATATCCATCATAGTTTCAGATGATAGTAATTTTTCTTCCTTCTCTTGCCTTATTAAAAGCTATAGTATTTAAAAGATTGAACACAAAATAATGTAAAAAGAAGGGTTCAGTTTTATTTTTTTGCACTTGCTTGCACCTGAGCTGTCATCATTAATATTTTTGATGAAATCTGTAATTTTTTTCCCTTCAGATTCAGCTTAAAAAATACGTTATTCTGTCCATGTTTTCTCAATGAGTGATAACAGGTTGTGGTGATACAGAAAACTTGTTAATACTTTCTTTGTAAATAATAATGCTAACTGTCAATTTTGTAAGATATTTTCTGTTAAGAAAATAAAGTAGATTTATGCGATGTACTCTTCTGCCTCTGTGCAAGATATGAACTATATGCTCAAAACACTTTAATTTAGTATTTATTTTCATTAGATTATTACCACTCATTGTCATACATGGTACATTAATCTGTCATAAGAAACAGCATTTTATCACACATGATTTCATGAAGCGTATTTTAATGCTGACATCAGCAAAGCATTGCTCTACATTAGTTGCATTTGCTTAAGTAAATTAATTCATAGATTTTTAGTAACATGGGTTTGAAATATGAAATATTTTGAGAAAATGTTTTTGTTGAAAAAAAATATTATTTTGTTGAAAAATGTGAGTTCATCTGCTTATTTCTCATACATAAGTATTATTATAGTTTTCAGCTTTGCTGTGAATATATTGAGATTTTCATTTCCATGCATTAGGAGAATATACATAACCGTGCCACTGTTGAATAAATAACAAGTATTTTTAAGAACTGCATTTTAAGCATTTTCATATTTTTTTTGTTTTAATTTTATAATATTTTCACTTGGAACATTTAAATTATATTGAATTTATATGACACATGTGAATGCCATTGTTTTTTCATTTTTATCTGGTGTTCAGTGTTTATTAATGAAAATTTCCTCTCATCTGAATATGCACTAGCTAAAGGACGTTAAGTTGTAAAAGTTCTTTTCAGATGTTAGCATGACACATGATTTCTATTCAGAAAGTTTGATGATCTTCATCTGCTTTAAGTGAAATAAAGTATTAGCATTAATCCAGTCCTGTGTTTTTTTATGATATATAATTTTAGATGTATATCATCAAAAAGTACACATTAAAATTTTTAATTGATTAGGAAAAAATTTTTATATGACTAATAAAGATTAAAAAAGTAAATATTCATCAAGTTCATTAATTTTTTTTAACCCTCAAAACGGAGGTTTGTCCCTGAAATTTGAGAATTCTGCAAAATTTCATGTATAAGTGATATTTTTATGGTCATAATTCCAAAATGACTGTCTCACTTTATAGCTTAACTGCTTTTCCTTCCAATATACATCCAACCAGCGATTGGTTACATCCGGAGCTGGCAAAAATTTTCACATGTAACAAATTGGCAAGCTATCCTTTTATGTGGAATTTTTTATCCATAACCTTTGGAATCACTATACAATTTCATGTAGAAAGCACTGCTGGAAGATTAGTTTCTTCACCTATCACGTGACTTGACATACTTCATTGCTATGCTCAGGTTTTCTTTTTCATTACTTATTCTATCCCACATCTGTGAACTTGTATGTAGTTTATAGGTGATTACAGTTAAATAGCTCATTTATTTAAAAAAAAAAATATTTCAGAAATTTTGGTAGTGTATTAAGTTAGGATAAACTGTTTTTTTAAATTTGGATTTGTTTTCCCTAACTTTTGTTAAGGATGTAGGAAAAAATTCATTACATTTAGATTTAGGAGGTACTCTTCTGTTATCAAGACCAGATTCAGAAATATTTGTATGTATATGTTCATGAATGCATGTATATATGTATGTCTGTATACACACATTCACACATGTGTGCATACATTCTACATTTCTCAATCTAGTCCCAATAATAGAAGAGTACTAATTAGAATTCAGTTTTAGAAGCTTTTAATGTATCTCGGGAGTAATTTTTAATATATCAAATACAGGATGGTCTAAAATTATTAAGTGCATTTCATGTTTAAAAAAATGAAGTATATTGTTTTCTTGGAAAGACAGTTTAAAACAGTTTTACACAACAATTTTACTTTTCATGTTTCTGGTTATGTTGACCGTGATAACTATTGGAAATGGGGAACTGAATATCCTCATGCAGTCAGAGAAAAAGCTCACAGTAGCCTGAAAGGGAATGTTTGGTGTGCTTTGGGTGCTGATGAAATCTTTGGACCATTTTTCTTTATCAAACAATCAATGACAAGCGTTACATATCTGGACATGCTATAGTGGTATGCTATTCCTCCATTTGAACGGCATCAGCCTCAAGTTATCTTTTAAGAAGACGATGCTGTACAACATTGGGGCTCCATAGTTCGAACGGAGCTAGACAAAACATTTCCTGATCATTGGATGAGTCGTGGGGCACTGATACGATAGCTGCCAAGATCCTCCAACATTATATCCCTTAACTTTTTCTTTTGGGGTTATGCTAAGGACCGAGTGTACACTAACTCCAGTTCTGAATAGTGATGACCTAAAATGACAAATCTCTGAAGTCATTGGAAGAATACCTGCTAAAATGCTTGGCATTGAATACTTGGCATGAAATTGAATATTGGCTGGATGTTTCGTGTGCCGCAGATGAAGTTCATGTGGAAGTTATTTCGTGTTTAAATTTTGTTGTGTAAAACTGTTTTAAATTGCCTTTCCAAGAAAGCAGTAAACATGTACATACCTCATTTTGTTCTTTCTTTTTTTTTTTTTCAAAAATGAAATTCGCTCAATAATTTTGGACTGCCTTATATATTTTAATATAACACAACTGTAATGTACACAGTCATGACTGTGTAACTCATGATGATTATCATTTTGTATTTTCAAATTTTGAATAAGAATAAAAAATAAATAAGTTGAATAATAATATTGTTAGAAAGTTCCTATAATAAATAATACATATAATAAATAGTATCACAAATAATATAATAAATTAATATTGTTAGAAAGTATGATATTGCACAAAATTTTTGAATAAAAATGGCTATAATGTGATTTATATTCATGAAATGTATTTTTAGATGAATATTATATGTCAATATTCATTTTTTTATTTTTTTAAATTTTAGTGTTCCATTTAACCTGGTGGATACTATTGAAAGTGTAGAAAACAGTAAAAAGGTACTTTCTTCAAATACATATAAAATTTAGAAGAAAAAAATACCTTCTGTTAAGTGCATTTTTAATATAGATTTTTTATGTTTTATAATGTTCTAATAGTTTTTTATATTAATTTGCTGCTCATAGATAATTTCAGGGAAGGGATTCATTTGCATTTAAAATGAAAAAAAAGTTTCCTAATTTTTGCTGAAGCAATGGCCGCATATTTAACAAGAGACAATAATGGCCACAAATGTGTGGCAATAGTCACGTATTTGTATTATGCACTTTGGAAATTAAAAGAAAAAGAGAGCATTTCTTAGGAATCTCCATTTGCTTTAAATTTGCCTATAATAATGAAACATAATTTTTCTCTCTGTGTGTATAGTTTACAAATGGTTAGGCATAGAACTACAAAATTTAGTATACATTTCATCTGGATAATGAAAGAAAAACTGACTTGAGATGGCAGATTTTTTCAAAAATTTGATTTAGATTTTTTTAATTTCCTTTTCTTTTTTTCGTGATTTTTCACCCATATCTTCATTTAATAAATAAACTAATATTCTCAGAGGTTTGTTTTGTGTACCATCAGATATAGCAGAAAAAAATAATTTGAAAGAAATTTATTCCTAATCTCTAACGCAATTTATTGATGTCTGGTGATTTTTCAGATCTTTTCTTGTTTCTGTCAACTTTACATATCTGCTATTTTAAAACTTGCATATTCAAAAGTAGATCTCTGATAAAAGTTTGAAATCTTTACAGATTATAAAACAAAGTCTTTGATCTGTTTTAAAACAAGAATGTTATGTATAACAATATTAAATGATTTTTGCATTTTTCTTAATGTGCACTAGAATGGTTTTTATGGAGGGAGAAGTTTTGGTTCTTTGTGTGATTTCAACAAAGAAAAGTTTGCAGATTCATTAAGTCTTTTTTAAAAACAGGAGATGTGAAAAACGAGCAATGCCCTTGCCGGGACTTGAACCCTGGACCTCTTGAATACTCGCCAAGTGTGCTACCATTACACCACAAAGGCGTGCTTTAAGGAGGGAAAAAATACATTATATACTTTTCTTTTTAAAGGGCGACTAGGGGTTAGTTGCCAAATCCTGGTGGTGATGAATTATTGTCCACCACCTTTTATTTTGGATGCCACTGTAGAGCCATTAGTCCCCCCCCCTCAAGTAGAAGACATGAAAAATGAGCAGTGTTCTTGCTGGGATTTGAATCCTGGACCTCTCAAATATGCACGAGTGTGCTACCATTACATCATGAAGGAGAAGGAGGGACAAAATACAAGTATCTTTTAAGATTTCCAAATGAAGTCACATGATGATGTGCATTACATTTTCTTTCATTAACATGTATTGTAGAATACTAAAATTTATTAGAATGCAATTACATTTTTTCCTACTCTCAAAAATTACTTACAAAGAAGTCAAAAATTGAGATTTTCGTCGTCTCCTACAAAACTGGTTTTCTTGAAATTTATACAAATACACATTTATGATCACAATTCTTCCTACACATACTCCCTCCCTAAAAATCTGATGTAAATTTTTTTTATTTGGTGATAAATTTTTCCAGTATACTCTTTGTTAATGATCAGCTACCAATGTTGAATTTTTTAACTTAGCGTCTTTGGATAAATTGAAAGACCCCAAATATTGACCATTCAAGAGTATTATGATAATTAGTAAAAAGGAATTGTTTTGAAAATATTTCATGCATTTATCTCAGTATTAAGATAAAAATATGTAAATCAATGTTGTAATTTAAATTAGCAATATCCCCTTAGTTCCTCATTTCAGTTTGGTTATTTCCTTTTTTTATTCTAAAAATAATAATTGTTTACAGTCAAGAGTCGTTAATTCGGACACCCATAATCCGGACCTCAAAGCTACAAACTTTCTGCACATGCGTCGCAATGACGCATGCGCGTAAGACCTATACAGCTGCGAATATGCATGTGCGTGTGCACAAAATACGTTTACGAATGCACGTTTAATGTATAACAGACGGTATAAGCTAAGCTAAAATTATCTAATTCAGTTAATGTTGCAGATTGCGTTGTTCCTTTATCTTCGAATTGGATTCGGCTTATTATTTTTTCAGACTGTTAGAGCAATTTTATAAAAGTAAGCTTGAACTTTCGATTATGTCAAATAGAATTTCTGATATACACTGGTGTGCAAAAATTAAGGACGAGACGGTTTTTTTCAATATAACTTTGTACAAAAGCTTTCCAAATCAACACATTTAATACCGTAAGATCCCCGAAATGTAAGGACATGAGTAATGTAAGCAACACTTACTAAAAGAGAAATCAGAGGGATAAAAAGAAGCTTTATTGAAAAAGAAGCATGGAGCGCAATGGGACTGAAGGCCGAAACATCCCTGTGATGGGTGTCCAGCAAGAAACATCCGGTCTCTAATAGCGGATAATGATCTTCCCTGACTGCTAGGCAGGTTTTACAGCGTCAGCCCATGCTGAGAATGAGGGTGTCAATGAGTTGTTGAGGCATTGCTGCCCATTCGTCTTGCAGCGCCAATCGAAGCTCCAGAATCGTTACTGGTGATAAGGTACGAGCTGCCAAGCGTCTGCCTAGAAAATCCCATACATGCTCGATGGGATTGAGATCCGGAGGTCGTGCCGGCCAATCCATACTTTCAATATCCTCACACTCTAAAAGCTGTTCGGCAGCTGCGCGATGACATGGTGCATTGTCGTCTGTGAAAAGGAACTGCGTACCCATAGCGCCTCTAAAAAGACACACACGTGGAAGAAGAATCTCGTTACAATAATGAGTCCCGTTGACTGAACATGCGTCGAAGATGTGAAGGTCTGTACGACTACCAAGCATGATGCCTCCCCAAACGAGAACACCACCACCTCCATACCTGTCCCTTTCAATGATGTTCGAGGGATGATTGCGGCTTCCCCACTCTCTCCAGATGAGTATGCGATGAGAATCGCTACTCAGACTGAATCTGCTCTCATCTGTAAAGAGTACTCGTCCCCATTCATTGTCTCTCCAATTCCGGTGTTCCCGGCACCACAGAGAACGCCTTCTCCGATGGGCAGGCGTTAGAGGTACACAACGTACAGGGCGTCGTGCAAACAGAACACCACCGTGCAGTCTTCTGGCCACGGTAAAACGCGATATCGGTCGTCCAGTCGCCTGTGTCGAGTGTCTAGCGATTTCTCCCGCTGTCTGCCGCCTGTTTCTTCTGGCCTGTAAGGCAATATACCAGTCATCTGCAGGTGTGATTCCTCGTGGACGACCACTACTAAACCTCCAGGTAGCTGTTCCTGTAGTTTGAAATTGTCTCCAAAGTCGTGAAACGATGCTGTGAGCAATTCCGAACTCTGCAGCCACACTTGTCACACTGCGGCCTTCGTCCAGCTTCCCAATGATTCGACCTCGGGTAAAAGCATCCAGATGTTGTCTAAAAGATTAATTATTCGCCATTTCTTGTTGAGGCAGCAACTCGGTGTGATTTTAACTGCTATACCGCATGCAATCTCTTTGCCAGAAATACTGATCTTACACTGACAACATGCTTTATACTACTCAGACTCTCCCCCATTACGTCTACCTGCATACCTGCGCATGTGCTACCGTACATCACCTTACTTAATCTCCTGATTGGTCTTTCTGTCCGCTCTGCCTCTTCGTTCATCTGATATGCTAATTTTTCGACTTCGTCCTTAATTTTTGCGCACCAGTGTATATTTACTAATATGTAAAGGATCTACAAAGTGAAAGTATGTTTCGAAGTCTATTAAACAAAAAGTGGAATTGCTGCAAAAAAATGGATAAAGGCATATCCTTTGTTTATCTAAACTTTAACGTTTGTTTACCTAAACTTTGTTTGCGTGCGCAATGAATTGGAAGTTGATCTGTCACCACTATCCTTATCTTCAGGGCAGATGTTTTTATTTTATGTGGCTTATAATTCCGTACTAAATGTAGTATTTCATCTCGATGTACTCCGTATTTGGTATGATTTAAATCAAATTCCTCGTCATTATAATTTGCTTTCGATAGCGAAGAAAGTAACAGAGGTTAGTGAAAACGAAAAAATTTCGATTGACAAGTTAGTCGGTATTCTCGGCCATTCAAGAGTATTATGATTAATATTGACCATTCAAGAGTATTATGATAATTAGTAAAAAGGAATTGTTTTGAAAAATATTTCATGCATTTATCTCAGTATTAAGATAAAAATATGTAAATCAATGTTGTAATTTAAATTAGCAATATCCCCTTAGTTCCTCATTTCAGTTTGGTTATTTCCTTTTTCTATTCTAAAAATAATAATTGTTTACAGTAAAGAGTCGTTAATTCGGACACCCATAATCCGAAATGATCTATAATCCGGACCTCAAAGCTACAAACTTTCTGCACATGCGTCGCAATGACGCATGCGCGCAAGACCTTTACAGCTGCGAATATGCATGTGCGTGTGCACAAAATACGTTTACAAATGCACGTTTAATGTATAACAGACGGTATAAGCTAAGCTAAAATTATCTAATTCAGTTAATGTTGCAGATTGCGTTGTTCCTTTATCTTCGAATTGGATTCGGCTTATTATTTTTTCAGACTGTTAGAGCAATTTTATAAAAGTAAGCTTGAACTTTCGATTATGTCAAATAGAATTTCTGATATACACTGGTGTGCAAAAATTAAGGACGAGACGGTTTTTTTCAATATAACTTTGTACAAAAGCTTTCCAAATCAACACATTTAATACCGTAAGATCCCCGAAATGTAAGGACATGAGTAATGTAAGCAACACTTACTAAAAGAGAAATCAGAGGGATAAAAAGAAGCTTTATTGAAAAAAAAGCATGGAGCGCAATGGGACTGAAGGCCGAAACATCCCTGTGATGGGTGTCCAGCAAGAAACATCTGGTCTTTAATAGCGGATAATGATCTTCCCTGACTGCTAGGCAGGTTTTACAGCGTCAGCCCATGCTGAGAATGAGGGTGTCAATGAGTTGTTGAGGCATTGCTGCCCATTAAAGGACTTGAACAGTGGAACTTAGTAATTGAACAAAAAATTATGTCCGTTTATAGAATTAAAGAGAAAGTATTAGCACATAAAACGAGGCAACTTAAACAACATACATTGAAAGAAATGTTTAATAAAGTAAGCAAATAAATATTAAGCTTTTTTTTTGTAAATTTTGATACCCTTTAGATCATAATTGTTCTTTATTTCATAAATTATGGTTTCATATTTTTAATTTTATAATTTCTGCATGCCATCTTACCAGATTTAAACTGATGATCTATAATCCGGAATCGCCGAAGTCCCGACGAGTCCGGATTAACGACTTTTGACTGTATAACTTTTTCTTGGCTGCATCATTTCCATATTAATCTACTGACTTTTATATAATGATGATGACGTAGCTAGTTTGGAACTTAAAATTTCAAGAACTGGAAGGTTTAGCTTAAAACTAAGCTTCTGTCTTGAACGGCTTAGCATTTGTTTTCTGCATTTCGGTTTAGCTAGATTGCTGCGTGCTGTTAGTCTTCCTATCAACAAAATCAAAAATGTAAATGTTCTGAACATTCACAATTGGTGTTCTAATTTGTTTGTGGCTGCAAATTATTTAACTATAGTAAAAGAAATATGAGTTAAATCTTCTATGACTGCATATATTGTATCTACATGACTTTGAAATTTAGTCTTCATTATGGATCTTTTATGTGTACTTCGATATCTGATGTCTGTTTCATTTCCAAATCATCATATACACACGCATGCATATATACATAAATAAATTAGAACAAAAATTTAAATTCAGTACATATTCAACTTCAAATAAAGAGTTGATAATAAATACAATATTTCAAAAAGCAATAAAGCATTGGGAAAAAATAAAAAAAAGGGTCCAGTTTGAAATTCAATTAATAACAGATGCATAAATGGAATATGCTAGGGCAAAAATTAAAAACCGATATTGTCTTGTCCAAAAAGTTAGTACAGAAAGGTCAAATAGGGCCAAAAGCACAATCTAAAACAGCCCTAGTGATGTCAACAATCCATGAAGAATATAAGAGCTGGCACTCTGAGGGGGGGGGGACAATATCAGTTGTGAAGAGTGTGGCCAGTATTGCAGGATAGTCGAAGATATGTACCGGAGAAAGTTACAGGAACAGTGAGGGTAGCAATTATAACTTCGCTGACCATCAGGGAATATTTTCATTCTATTAAAGTGTTTTATTCTCAGTCTGGCTATGGTAGATGAAACAATTTGGTTGCAGTTTAGCTCGGGAGTAGAATTTTTCTTAACTTGTTGGAGATGTGTTTTCGGCTGGCTATTGCATCTGCATTGGCTAGAGTTAAACTGTTGGAAAGTTGAGTATTATTTCAGGCTTCTTTGGCAAGGTAGTTTGCTTGCTCATTGTCAGAAGTATCGTGCCCTGGAGGTTGCAGTAGTAGGATCCATTGTAGGATGCAGGCTTTTGGGGCAGCTATTATTGTGTTTATGAGCACAACAATGTCCTGGGGAAGTTCAGAGTTGCCCCTCTGGATCGTCTGAAGCACATATTTAGAATCAGAGAAAATTATCATGTCACAAGAATTCTGAGCTGCTTTGAAGTGAAAAATATTCAAAGTACCCTTAAAAGCTACCAGCTTGCAGGTATAATTTGAGGCAATTTCTCCAACAGAAATTTTATGGAATTCATCTTTGCCATTCGGTGCATAAATTAGATGCCAGCATCTCTTTTATTGAGGTTGAAGTCAGAGGAACCATCTGTGTAGGCAACAGTTAGGTTATGAGCTAAATTTGTGTGCTCATTTATAGTGTGGGTGTCTTTTTCTTTAAGTAGTGCAGTTGAATCTTTTTTGGTGCAAGATTGCTAGAGATTTAAATTGATAATTCCCTGTAGAGAGGGGTGGATGGAAAGTAGATGTTCTTTAATTATATCAGTCGCTTCATGCTCTATTTTTTCCTAATCTCATGGGAAATAAGTTTGGACGTCTACCTGTTGGTCTACAGAAGGTATTTTATTTGCCTCTAACCTCCCAGTGCGAACCACTGGAGGCATTCCACTATCCACCAAAATTAAAAATTAAATGCAATAAAAGAAAACTTGCATATCTTTTTCAGGGGGTTGGTGTATCAAGAGAACTGATAATGGCTGTATCAAGAAAACTGTTTCTAAACTGATAATGACTCAAATTTACTAAATTTAAGAACTTTAATATATTACAAAACAGTTTGTGTCTTCATCAATCCAATCTTTACAGGATTGAGAAAAGCACTTTGTCTAAATTCATAAGCAAAATTTGTTGCAAACCAGAATTGGAAAATCAGCATCAACACCATCCATTTGATTTAAACGAATGTGATACAAATAAAGTCAAGCAAAATAATTCATTAAACAAAAATGCAAAAAATAGTAGAAACTGTAATCTGTATCATTCAAGCTATTCAATGTTAAATATTAACCAGCAATTAAAATTAAAGTATTGAAATAAAAAATTGTGTCAATAATTAATAATTTGAAAAAATTGACAAGTTTAATAAATTATGCAAGAACCTATGAAAAAATTAAATACAAATGCATTTGAAGAACTGGAATAAGCTAACCTGTTGTATTTATTGTATGTATTGATTTTGAACTTTTTAGTTTATTGTCTGTGTATATATATATGTGTGTCGACTCAGTCTTTCATCCCTTGATTTCCATCCTTCGGGTCAATGAAATGAGTACCAAGTTCACTTGGGGACTAAACACTGGGGGGGGGGTCCTGTGACAAGCTGACCACTTGTTCAGGGCATATGCCACAGGGCCCACGTTGAAGAAAGCAGATTTCGGGGCACTGCAGGCATTGGCCCACTAGGGCTGTTATGCCACTGCGTTTAGTTTATATATATAGAGAGAGAATTGCTTTTCAGGATTAATTTATTTTCCTGAGTACTTTAATGACTTTTTCTAATATGTTTTATATGGGAATATTTTTTCTTCTTACACCGGGTAAAGAATTATTATATTATTAATTTTTAATGCAGTGATATGCAGTAAGGAAAACCAATTGCGATATCTTACCTGCAGTTATGTAAAATGAAGCTAAAATGATTTATTTCCATGAATTATCGAATAACAGATATAATGGAATTTTGAATAAAAATTCGGAATAAATAAATTTTAAGTACATAAATGTTCATTTTTCAGTCAAAAAGTTTTTTACTACTAGTTGAGTTTTACAATCTGTTATTAAAGTGTGACTGTTTGAAACCACGAAACTAGATTTTTGGTAGAGAAATACTCTTTGTAGTATTACATTTAGTGTTCCCAGGCTAAACTAAATTTAGTGTACTTAATGCTCAAAATCAGTCATATTCAGTTTAGTTGTCCCACATCCTTGTTTGTTCATCCCCCTTCATTCTTCCTTCCAAGTGCATTTATATTGCATATTAAATTTAAATCTATATGTTTGATTCAGTTTTTGATAACTGTTTATTGTGTTAAATGTTAATAGTTTTATATAAATTTCTTTAGATTGAAATATAAATATTTGTAAAAGTTCTCCGAGGAATTGGTCTTTCCACGGGAAGAGACATTGAATAAGCCTCAAATGTTTGCATTTTGTTGTATAGTATTTATTATGAAAATTGTATGAATTATTCTGGTGCTTCAAATAATTGTCATATTCCTTGGCTTTAATGATAACTCCGGTCTATTAGTGTTAACACTTATGTATTAGTGTTGTTCTTAACAGATACTCTCCTGATAATAATTGTATATTTATAAAAATGTTTTGCTTTTAGTGTATTTAATATTGTATCTAATAGCTTTCATCATAATTATTTAAAGTTTTCTTTCATTTCTAATTTTTATTATAGGTTCATACAAATATTGGAAAAGGTAGATTATTTATCAGAACAGCTTTATCAAAAAAGCTTTTACAGTCCTTTTTGGAATTTTTCTTGAAAGATGAAGTATTTGTATTTGTAAGTAATTTGTTTAAATTTTAGTCATCTGCACTGTTTTAATAAATGGTTATACTTCAACAATAATTCATACCACAAATGTTATGCTCATAATCACTGCTGAACAGTTAACTGACATTATTTTTGATATTTTTAATAAATAATGTAAATGTAATTGTTTTAATCATTATCTCTATTTTTTTTGTAGGAAATTTTGATAATTTATCTTATTCCAAAATAATTCTAATGGGATGTTGATGAAAATTAGATATTGTAGTGAATTAAGCATATACATTTTTGTTATTTCCAGCATGTCAAAACATTTTTAGATGTAAATCAAAACAATGAAATAATACCTAGAATTTGCTCTGTTTAATATTTATTTGATGTAAGTATCATAGTACAGTTAATCTATGAAAGTTAAGCTTTTATCTGCTAAAATCATAGTAAAACACATATCCACCTTGGTGAACTGATAAATTTGTGTATTTTGCATAGTATGTAATTACAGTCAAAAGTCGTTAATTCGGACACCCATAATCCGGAATGATCTATAATCCGGACCTCAAAGCTAAAAACTTTCTGCACATGCGCATAGGCGTTTAAGCATTCGCGCAAGACCATTTACCACTGCGCATATGCGTGTGCGCAAGCACAGAATACGTTTTCGCGTGCGCGTTTTATGTCTAACGGACAGTATAATCTAAAATTATTTAATTATCTATTTCAGTTAATGTTGATGATTGCGTTGTTCCTTAATCTTCGAATTGGATCCGGCTTATTATTTTTTCCAGACTGTAAGAGCAATTTTATAAAAGTAAACTTGAACTTTCGATTATGTCAAATAGAATTTCAGATTCTGGAGCTCCCAAAGGATCGTACAAAACGAAAGTATGTTTCGATGTCCATCAAACAAAAAGTGGAATTGCTGCAAAAAATGGATAAAGACATGTAGAATGTGACAAAGAGGTTAGTGAAAATGAAAAAATTTCGATTGACAAGTTAGTCAGTAATCTCGGCACAACAATTAACGGGACTTGAACAGCGGAACTTTGTAACTGAACAAGAAATTGTGTCTGTTTATAGAATTTAAGAGAAAGTATTATCACATAAAAAGAAGCAACTTAAAACAACTTACATTAAAAGAAATGTTTAATAAAGTAAACAAATAAATATTAAGCTTTTTTTTTGTAAATTTTGATACACTTTAGATTATAATTGTTCTTTATTTCATAAATTAAGGTTTCATATTTTTAATTTTAGAATTTCTGCATGCCATCTTACAAGATTTGAACTGATGATCTATAATCCGGAATTGCCGAAGTCCCGACGAGTCCGGATTAACGACTTTTGACTGTAGTTCTCTCTGAGAATAAATATGTATTGCTAAAGAGTGAAAATTTTATTCCCGAGTAAAGTTTATATTCTCTTTTTTTTTTCTTCCTTATTTTAAACAAAAAAGGGGGTGTTGGAAAAAGCCTTTATGTTGAACAGATTTTCTAGTAACTATAATAATGAAGTTTTTTCAAACTATACTGTTTTTTGAATATTGCATAAAATTACGATATCTGAAGTTAATTCTTTTAACTGAGCTAGTTATTCCTATCAGAATATTTGTATACTTTTCTAATTTTGAAATATAACTAATGCTGAGGTTTAATTTCAATTTCTCTGCATTATTAATTTTGAACTTTTTTTCTAGTCAATGTATGATCCTGAAACATCCATTTTAGGAAATGAAATTTTGGCAGGTGAGTAAAAGAAACTCATCAGATTAATAAAGACTATTAAAGGCTACAAAATTACCAACTTTATTACAACACTGCTGCTGGTGTCACTTGAATCCATAATCTTTGGGTCTCGAAGCCAACACTTTATCCATTAGGCAACAGGAGCAACCTAACATTTGTGTAGATTTTAAGTATATTCAGAAATGTAAGGTTTCAAAATCTTTCTTTATGTTCTCACAGGGTTCGTAGCGATCCTTACAAGTGCTTATAAGTCCTTGTATTTGAAAATAAAATATAAAGGCCCTTATGGGTGCTTACCTTTTCTTTAAAGCCCTTATTTTTTTGTTTTTAGTGCTTATTTTTTGCTTTTAGTGCTTTTTTTTAATCCTTTTTTTTTTTTTTTTTTTAAAATGAACGTGCATTTTTTTCCCGTACTGAAGCCGAAACTTAAATAAACAACTTTTCTTCCTTATATGCAATGCCAGATGGTGAATCATACTCCCGGAAATTGCTTTTCCCCCCTTTCTCTGCATTACCGTAACCTATGGTGCGTGCGAGAGTACAGACAGGTGCACGTCGTTCTATTGGTCAAAAAATTGCGAAAATGGTAGAAAATTCCGTTACATTCGGTATTCTTTTCCTCCCACCCAAATAGTAACACACGTTTGAATTTCTATCAAGATTTTAATAATTTGCATTCTCGTTCCGCGTTGTCAGTTCATATTCGTGTTTATTATGATCGTTATGCTTATATTATGAGTATATGCATGAATATTTATAATAATGTTGCGTGCGTACGGCTTCGTTATGAAATGAATGCACAAGTCTGATGAAAAATGAACAAAAATTTATTATCGCAACAAAAATGCTTAAATTTTCTCAAATTATCATGCAGTATTACAATATCTCACAGTAGTTATCTTTTAACTACTCAAATATCCAATAGAACGTAATTCAAAACAGCTAAAGAACGCTAATCCGCGAATTCGCTACAATCAACAAGAGCAGTTTTCTAAACAACAACAAACTATAAGCAAGCAACTAACTACAAACTGAGATGTTTTCCTCCTTTTATAAGATTTTAAAATCACGCGCTAGAATTTTCCAGTACTTTCTCGAAATCAAAAAGAGATATTTATTTATTTAATGCACGCGCTCTTGTATTTTCAATTTTCCAGCTTAGCTTTCTTTTAATATTCGTCACGCGCTGCACTGCGCGAGAAATAAAACCATTTAATTTATAATTGAACTAACATTAGCTTTTTTTTTTAAACACCAAATTCGTAACATTGCACCCTTTCCAAGGACTGCACGTCCCGCGCAGTACAACCCCTGGACAGGAAGCTAAACTTACGACTGTGGCATAAATGCAACTGAGGCATAAACATTACATCACAATATCAAACAACATGAACAATAAATGCAATAACTAACTTAAACAAATCAAATGCTATCTAATACTAAATACAAATCAAATACTAAATACAAATCAAATACTAAATGCACATTTAAAAACAAAATGGACCATGGTCTTATACTATTTTCAATTATTTACATTATGTACTATGGCCATAGTAATGAGCTAACCTGTCGTAATGACGACTTAGGTTTAGAGTTCGAAGACTTACGGATCCGACATCATTCAGTCCTGTTTAGCACTGTACATGGGACCATCCGAAGGTGACTGTAATTTAGGACTGAAGTCCCTTTTCGTTGAATCAGGTTCCACAACCACACCTTGTCTCCTTTGTTGGATCTATGTCCAGTAGCTCTCGTGTTGTATCTGGTCTTCACTTTCTCCGTCGCCAAGTTCACTCGCTTTCGTGCGGAAACGGGGCATCACTTCAAAACGGGCCTGGACATCTTGGATGTGTGTTCCTCAGGCGATGAAGGCGCATCCGTACGGCGATCAAACAGGCGGTCACAAGGCAGACGAAGGTCTCGACCGAAGAGCATCTGGGATGAGAAGAGCTGGTAGTCTTGCGTTTCTTTTCGACCCTAGTATGATTTCGGCAGCTTCCCGAGCTGGATCTTTCGGACAAGGCGTCGGCATTTCCAGGTGAGGATCCCTTTTTGAGGATGGATAGTCATGCCATCAGATGCTGAAAGCAGTTTGTTGTTTTTCAAGTCTAAGGAAAAAATTGTATTTCCTTAAAAAGTCCAATCCGAGTATGCATGGATCTGTAATATCCGCCACATATGCCGTGTGATGGTAGGCGGCACTTCCAAACGTGATGTTTACGTTTAACTTCCCAGTTATGTCGATCTTGTCACCAGACGCAGTCTGAAGGGTAACACAGGATGGCGTCCAAATAAGTTTATCTTTAAACTGTTCAGCTAAATCTTTCCTAATGATGGTAACATTAGCTCCTGTGTCAATGATCATATTGCAAGGAACTCCATCGATATTCCCATTGATGGACAGTCCGTTACTGTTGCCACTCACTGTATAAATTTTAAGCGCTTTAAAACAAGGTTTTCATTATCTGGCAACCTCCGTTCCTCGATATGGTCACTAATTTGTTTACTGCTTCGTTGCTGGGAAATGGTCTTATTTTCCGTACCTCGGGGTGTTCTGCAGTTTCTTCGTATGTGGCCTTCAACTCCGCAGTTCCAGCACTTTAGAATTAGTTTCTTTTCACTTCTGTTCCGTCTCAAGCCACTGACTTGTCTGGTAAAATCATCTGCTTTATATTCCGTACCCTGGGGTGTTCTGCAATTCCGTCTTAGGTGACCTTCACTACCACATCTCCAACACCTTAGAGCCACTTTCTTCTCGCTCCTACTCCGTATCAAATCTTCGACTTGTCTGGCTAAATCATCTAAACGAGCCATCAGTTGATCCACTGGCTCATGGACTCGCACAGCTCTAACTGGGGTAGCGATCTCTACTAGTTGCTTCCTGGGCTGCCTCGAACTTCATGGCGTACAACAGAGCGCTTTTTAAATCTTTAACATCCGCCATTCGCAGAGCTTTCTGTATTTCAGGGTCCCGGATGCCATCGATGAAAGTATTGCAGCGACAGGATTTCCCTGTTTCTGTCGGGCACTCCGAAAAGGCGAGATGGGACAGCCTTTCAACATCCGTGGCGAGCTCCTTGAGTGTTTCGGTAGGCTTCTGTTGACGGGATTTTAATTGAAGCCTGCTGTAGTCTTTTAAAACATTTCTCGCCAAAGCGCAGCTCCAATGCGCCGGATAGAGCTTCGAAAGTCTAGCCTTCTGGTTTTCGGGAAGCGTCTGCAGGATATCCGCTGCGTCTGCTCTCAGAGAAGCGGCGAGATGACAGGCCTTAGCTTGGGAATCCCATCCATTCGCATCCACAACGATAGAAAATTGGGTCTTATACACTTGCCAGGAGGTCTTCCCATCATATGTGGATAGCTTTCAGAGATGGACGAGCAGGCATCGGTAAGAATTTAAAATCATCACTCCTGCTCCCTGCCGATCGCTACGAATTTCTTTTAAGTATCCATTTCTTTGGCAACAGCAGAAACTCTCTCATCAATCTGTTGTTCGATTTGCTCTTGGACCGAAGAAACTCTTTCTTCAATTTGCTGCTTCCACGGCAAACTCTTTCCTGAATTTTTTTCCAACTTTGCCTTCAACTGTGTCATTCTATTCTGCCTTCCATAGCTCGAATTTATTTTCTATTATGCAGGCAATTTCTCTTTTCATTTCATCTTGACCTGCTTCAATCTTTTCTGTACAGCTTTTTATGTCTTCTTTAAAAGTTCTTGACCAGCTTCCAACTTTTTGTTAACGGATTCCTGTCCCGATTTCATTTCTGCTTAACGGATCTTCTCTCTGCTTAACAAGTCTTTTCATTCTTCTTTAAATGATGCTTGGCCAGCTTCCATCTTTTCTTGGAATGCAGCAAAAGCACTAATGAGCTGTCTCAATTGTTCTTCCATCGCTCTTGTTATTGGCATTCAAATCCCACTTCTGACACCAAAAATTGTTGCGTGCGTACGGGTTCGTTATGAAATGAATGCACAAGTCCGATGAAAAATGAACAAAAATTTATTATTATCACAACAAAAATGCTTAAATTTTCTCAAATTATCATGCAGTATTACAATATCTCACAGTAGTTATCTTTTAACTACTCAAATGTCCAATAGAACGTAATTCAAAACAGCTAAAGAACGCTAATCCGCGAATTCGCTACAATCAACAAGAGCAGTTTTCTAAACAACAACAAACTAAGCAACTACTACAAACTGAGATGTTTTCCTCCTTTTATAAGATTTTAAAATCACGCGCTAGAATTTTCCAGTACTTTCTCGAAATCAAAAAGAGATATTTATTTATTTAATGCACGCGCTCTTGTATTTTCAATTTTCCGGCTTAGCGTTCTTTTAATATTCATCACGCGCTGCACTGCACGAGAAATAAAACCATTTAATTTATAATTGAACTAACATTAGCTTTTTAAATACTAAATTTGTAACAATAATATAATAGTTGCAGTAACTGCTGAAGTATAGCTGCTTCCAAAAATGGGTGTGTTTTTACACAGATTAGCTTTCTAGGGAATAATATTCGGAATGGCTTAAATAAAAGGAAGGTAATCGAATAGTCAAAATAATTTCTCCCCCCCCCAATACATTATACAGTACGGAGGTTGGGAGGTTCTCCACAAAATCTCTAATATTGAAGCAGCGGATTTCCCCCCTCCCCCACTGTCCATCTGGATTGAATTACAACAGGACTAAAAGTTTTTGCGGTCTACCCAACCTAAGCGAAGATTGATTCTATTCCGGAAATTTAACGCAGTCTGTTGAAAATTAGAATCAGAAACACCCCAAATTAGTAAGTCTCTTTCTTTTCCTTTATTTAGTTCTTTATTCTCGGAATACCGGCAGCTGTTGTTTCCGATTGCGTAATATCACATGTGGAAGAATTATGCCGCACATATTGCGCAATAACATTTGCGGTATTTTGCAGAGATAATTAATTTTGATGTTCTGTCTGAGATTTGTTTATGAACACTTAAAATAGTTTTTCTGTGCTTTCTAAGTAGAATATTTCTCAGTTTCGTTGGTCTGTTTTTATATGATGCACATATCGAAATGTCAAAATCATTTATTTAGCCGAGAAATCTAAAGAAACGGCTACTAGCTCTCTCCCCCCCCTCCTCTTTTTCCAGTTACTATCCGGATATTTGGCAATTTCGAGTATGCACGTTAGTTAAGCTTTTACTGTTAAAGGAGACTGCATGAAGTAATTTCCCCGTCTTCTGATTTCAGAATGTGCCTCTTTTTACTTAAATTACTTTGCTTGGAATATATGTTAAGGGAAAACTGTTATGCAATGAAAATTTAGAAATTGTTCAGAATTTTGATTTAAGAAGTTAAATTATTTAAATATTAATATGAGTGGAAAATAAATTGTATTTTTTATTAGGTGCCAAACGAATACAATTGATATGGCTTATTATTATTTATTTTCTATATTTTGAACTGAAATTTCATCATTAAATCTTGTAATATAGTTAGTTCTGCATATTTTTTTTTTTTTTTTCTTTTTTCTTCTCATTGTAAACTATTCTGTAAATGAACTGTCATTTAAAATTTAAAAAAAAAAAGTTAATTGTTTTCCATGGTTGAGGTAATGCTCATTTTCTTAATAAATATTGCATTGCTTATATTTTAAATTACAAGTCTAATTTTTCTTAAGGTTATGCAGTTGTGTATAATATAATTAGACAGGTGCTTATTTTTTCCTTAAAATGGGCTTGAAGAGTGCTTATAGGTGCTTATATTTTTAACTAAAATGTGGCTATGAACCCTGTCTCACAACAGTCTATTGCTTTAGATTATTGCATAAAAATTATCAGTCATATCTCATTTGTGACTGATATATAAGATTTATTATTCTTAATAAACTTGAGAATTTCCTTTTAAATAATTCACTAAGATATTCTATTAACTTATTTTTTAAAATTATAGTCTTACATTTTTATTAAGATTAGCCCATTTGCTTTTATATTTTTCTCAGCAAGAATTTTTGATAGCATATTCATTTAAAAACTCTGGTATAAACTGGGAATTTGAAATGAGATATCTGAAACTGATGTGGCAAGTAGGAAAGAATTGAAGTTGAGTCTCCATTCGTCTGAAAAATGCCGCCTCTGAGCTCACTTATGATTGGTTTTTATTTTCTGCCTGAATGCTTGATCACCTTGGTGTGAATAGTCGCACAATGTTTTTATATTTAGCATGAAAGAGAGAGCTAAGTAAAATACAAATATTTATGACTTTCTAAATGAATTATTTGTTTTTTACATTTCATGATCTTTTATCTTTACTTAATAACATTATAACTATTTTTGTTTTTGCTTTTCTGGTGCTTAGTGTTAACTGGGTTATGTAGTGTGAGAAAATATATACAGGTACATGCTAACACAATTCAATCAACTCCCAGTATGGTGAATTTTCAGTTGTCTGGGAATCGCTTTCACATTAATTCAAAATCACAATTAATATAAAGCCTTTACAAAAAGCCATTAAAGAAGAATAATCAAAATTGGAATCAACAGAAGAATGTTATTAATAATTTATAAGTATTTTCAAGCAGTTTAATTTGGAGAATAATTTTAATTGGTTATTTAAATCAAATCAGTAAATAAAATAATAAGTACAAAAAAAATCACTAGAAATAAAATTAAATGACTGTAATATCATCTGCTATCACTGCTGTTAATCCAAAGGAAGTTTGTGATGGTTGATTTTTCCGTTATTTTCAAATATACAAACTTGAATCGTATTTTTAGATAGGGCTAGGTAACTTTGTAGTCATGTTAATTTACATTTGGCCAAGCAGGAGTTGATATGTTTGTAATTATAAATATTCAGTAAAATATAACTTAAAAAGATATTTAATTTTAAAATTGAATCTATTCTCATAAAATACTCTTGTTTTCAGAAATACTTTCATCACTCTTTCATGAAGTGAACAAAATAGATTTCAAGCTTGAATTGAAGGTTTGTTAATTCTTTTCAACATTTTCCTATAAACATTATAATTTTGATTCTCTTTATATATATATATATCTGTGCTTCTAAAAAATAAGCAAGAAAATCGAGGTTGAAGCTCTGAGCATCCTTCATCCTTCATAGGTGCATTCATAGTATTTTATATTTTGAATGCTTGTAGGTTTAATAACATCTATTGGTTGTAAATAAATTTGTGGAAGAATGTAATAAAATAGAAGAAAATGAAGAAAATATTGCTATTTGTATCGAATTTTTTTGTAATGTTTATTTTTTGTATTATTCTATTAAAAGTATTTTTTATAAAAAAATTACTTTTAAAGTAATGTTACATTGAAAACATTTGTAACTCTAATTTAAAAGTTCTAGGGGAATCTGGATTCAAACTAAAAAGTTTTTATTTGTCACTCTATGTCAGCGTTTCTCAACCTTTTGGCTTATGCGTACCATCTAAACAAAAATTGAAAACCTTTAGCATCACCACTACAAAGTACTACTACCACCACCACTCTTGAACAAAGCTCAGATCGCATAAATTTACGAGTGTTACAGAAAAAACTCAATCAGAATGTTGGGGTTTCAATTTTTGAATTTAATAGTTAAAAATACTTTGCTTCTTTGCATAACACCTATTTTCTCCTTGCGTACCAACAGTGGTACTTACCACTGGTTGAGAACCCCTGTTCTCTGTGATACTTGCAGTTCATCGGATATAATTTGTTAGTGTAGATTAGAAATACTTCAAGGCTATCAGCATTTAATTGACTAGTTCGAGTATACTAGTTAAAATGCAGTTTGTATAATATGAATATTATTTAGAATTTTAGATTTGATTTTCTCATTCATTTTTTAGAGATGTGTGTTTTCTGTTCATGCATATATTCACAATATAATTATGCAGAATTTGGGCAAACTTGAGACCGTGGTCATATATTTTCCTTGCTAAAACTTGTAAGGGTGTTGTTCTTTTTTATGATCATACACATTTTTTAATTCATTCGTCATGGTCCTAGTAAATTGTTCATGAAAATTTCTTTTGCTGTTTTTTGTTTTAAAGTTATGTACAGAGTTTTGTTTTAATTTTAGCATAATTTGGTTATTTTTCTATTAAATCCATGCCAGACATCTTTGGCACCCCCATATTGGCAAATTTTGGTTTA